TGGTTTGGTAGTTTCACCGTCGATGTGTTGTTTCGGTCTCAATTTCATGGCCTCAATTTCATCAACGCAGAACTTCGATTTTTTAAAAAATGAATTTTGAATGCGTTACTCACCCTGAATCAATTTTAAATACAGAGGTTATCTCAAATTTCATGTAAACGGATGGTAGTTACTTTCTTTATTAATTGTGTAGTAACAAATTATGAAGTACCTAATCTATGGACGCTCTCATCCTGTAATATTTGAGTAGTATGTGGAAAGATACAAATTATTACCATCAATTCTCATCGCCATCTTCTAGAACCGAGAATTATTTCTTCCTTCGATTAAACCTGAAACTCAATTTGATGTAAAATTTTCGTTTCAGGTCGCGTTACAGATCAACAACCTTGAGAACTTTCGTAAACGTTACTTGCAAGATCGGCCGATCATGAACTTCACCAAGGAGTCTAATTGGGCGTTTTTCAGCGAGTCATTTTGGCTGCCGCAGAATGTCACCTGGGAGGACTTCAATCGGTTTGAGGACAAAGATGGACTTCGAATGCCTAAAATTCAAGATGTTTTTGTTGCCTGGAAATTAGTCCCTTTCGTACTTCTTCCAAAATTTATGGTCGAAAAGTAAGTTAATCTAAATTTCACGTATCAAACATTTTTAGAGTATCTGACCTCCCACGGGAATAGGGTCCTGAGCCCACAAAAATTCAAAATTTAGTTTTGTTATTACATAGGTTTGAATCTTTTGCAAAATGATCCATCAGATTCTTAGAACTTTATTTCTCTCAGACTTATTGTAAATCATAAGGCTTCAAGAACATACTTGATGTAATAAAATTGGATCTCGCGGGCCTTCAATTTTAAACAGGAAGGAGCAAAAAGGAACACGCCCTACCGCGATACTATATACCGTATTTATTGTTAGTACATTTGCACCTTATATCGATGGTGAGACTGCAGATATGGGTATTTCAGTTCACGGCATTGCAGACCTCCTGTCATACATTATTTTCTACATGGAAAACTATTGAACGTCATTGTTTGAGACTTCAGTGATTTTTTTTCTCTATATAATGAATACTCTGTGAAAACTTGAAGCCATGACGTTGCTTTGGTCTCTTTTCAAAGTCGCGCCTAGTTAAAAGTAATTGAATATGTCATGCCATCTAATTTAGAGTCCCTTTATTCCCAGAGTTAAGACAACTCGATTATCAGCTGACTGGCAGCCGGCCTTGGCTGGCCATGGAGGCACAAACGAGTGCACCCAAACGAACGATATTGAGGGATAAGGACAAGGAGTCCTGCGATGTCTGTCATCCAAAAACAACATCATCAACAGGATTGATCAAAGAAAATGAGATTGGTTTGTAAAAAATTGCTTAATCAATTTCATTTTGGACCGATGGAAATAACAATTTACTCTTGATAATCCACAATTAGGTAATATTATCATTACTTTTGTTCACATTCGAGTAGTCACCGCCATCTTGGTGCACTCGTTTGTGACTCCATGAGCGAGAACCAATCAGAATTGGATTTTTTTTAGGCCACTTTCAGCCCAACCAAAAGTGAGTTGTCGTAACTCTGGGTATAAAGGGACTCTAATCTAATTGAGACTAAACAATATTATTTTTGTTGCAGATACGTTGGTCCAAAGGTTGGCGCATGGGCTGGGATACAAGACGAAGAGCGTAAAAAACCGCCACATGTGGACTTGCTAGAAAAAGCACATCGGTCCAAGCCTTCGGGGAAATGGAGCGACAATGAAATATCAGCGCTTACGAAACAACTTGACTGGACCGAGGAACAAATTAAAGAATGGCTCAAAGCTAGAAGAAAATTCGCATTGCCTACAACTTTAGAGAAATTCAGTGAAAGTTTGTAAGTACATCAACGAAGTAGATTGTCTATCTATAAAATATCTACCTTCCTAGTTTTACTACGTCCGCCAATTGATTACATACTTTTATTTATTCTAAATGCTATTTTTACGGGGAAACATGCCTAGTGATGCATTAGTCCCCTTTTAAATTTAATTAAAATTACCATGTCTAGTGTTCTATTAAGGTTCGCATGTACGCGTGTCGGCAGACATTTTTTTTTTATTAATTTCCAACTACATTTTTAGTGTAATCAACCCAGATTTTTTATCTTCTTCATTTTACAATTGATTTTCTTGCAGTTGGCGTTGTCTCGGCTTCATATTCATTCTTGCGTATGGTTTATACGTTCACTGGTCTAAAGATTGGTTTTGGGACATCAAACTTGCCTTCAAAGATTACCCCCAGGTATCACATACTTTCAGAATTTAACTTTAACCTGAATTTTCTTTTATTTGTCACGTTCTCGTGCATATTCTATCAATTTCTACTCACGACTAGAGAAAAATTGTCACAAATGCATTCGATGACATTTTTTATCTTCAATTATTATTGCATAATTATTCTGACTAATGAAAGTTAATATACCAAAGCTAATGCAATTTCATGTTATTTTCAACCATTGAGCTAATTTCGAAACATATACTCACAGGTCACCTCTCAGTGATATCAATCTCTGATAGGTCCCAAAAAAATATCAACAGCTTTTGCACATTTAGCAATTACCTCGAACCAAGTATGTTTTTGAATTGTAAGACAACCTTTTGGACCTTTTTTTCTTCATGGATCACAATTTAAAAATGCAAAAAAATGGTCAGAAAAACATTCCACAATACTATGTACTATTTGATTATAGTATGTATTCGCAATACTTCTCAAGTCTGAATTACAAACATTCGATGACATTTTTTATCTTCAATTATTATTGCATAATTATTCTGACTAATGAAAGTTAATATACCAAAGCTAATGCAATTTCATGTTATTTTCAACCATTGACCTAATTTCGAAACATATACTCACTGGTCACTTCTCAGTGACACAATCTCTGATAGGTCCAAGGAACATTCCAACAATTTTTGCAAATTTTAGCAATGTCCTTGTACCAAGTATGTATTTGATTTGTAAGCCAACCTTTTGGACCTCCTTTCCTTTATGGACAACAGTTTCGAAATGCTAAACAATGGTCAGTATAACATTCCGCGTGCACTAATCAAATTTTGAATCCATGTATGCGCAATACTTCTCAAGTCTGAATTACAAACATATTTGATCCAATCCGTTTCGCAATTTAGACCTGTCAAAAAATCCATTGACAGCCTATCCACTAATTTTTGGGAAGAAATGATTAAGGTCACTGCATGTTTCTGCCGCAGCCGGTTACAAGGGACATTTATTGGTACTTCCTCATAGCACTGGCGAATTACTCCGCGTGGAATATCTCACAATTCTGGGATGTGCCGAGGAAGGACCCGAAACTCTTAATGCTCCATCACGTTGCAACGGTGTTCCTGTTGTCTGCATCATGGATCGCAGGTGCACATAGAATCGGCCTCTACACATTATTAATTCATGATGTCGGGGATGTATTGGTGGAGGTAAATGAAATTATAAAACTAAATTAAACTTAATCATGGACGGTTCATTGACGAGGAACCGTCGCACAGTGGATCGAGTCAATGGGGGAGGTCGGCGACAAAGTTTGGAAATTTTAAAAGTTTTCTTTTCTTTTTTTTTTTTTTTAACAAGTTAAAATTATACACAAATATACACATACATACATTAAGCCGCTTTTATAGCGCAGCCTCGCGCTCTGCGACGCCTAATCGCCAGAGCCCCCAATCTTCCCAGAGACCACCAGGCAGTTGGCACCTTCTGATCTCCTCCTCCACCCCTTGTCGCCAACCTTTCACAGGGCGTCCACGCCGTCGCCTTCCGGGAGGAACCTAATCGAAAACCTGCTTGGGCAACCGATCGTCTCCCATCCTTCGCACATGTCCATACCAGACCACTGCTTGGACCTGATATCGTGCACGATGTCATTCTCGACACCCATTATCTCGCGCACTTTTACATTGCGGATACGCTCTCTTCTTGAGATGCCAGTAGACTGCCGCCAAAAGTCCATCTCAGTTGCCCGAAGCATGTCTTCGGTCCTTTTCTTGAGTTGCCAGACCTCACTCCCGTAAGTTACGATACTCTTCACGATGACGTTGTAAATTTTTCTTTTGGTCTTCTTGGAGATATTCTGGTCCCAGAGAACCCCATTTAGCATCGCGATAGGTTTCCTGCCTTGTACATTTCGATCTTTAATAGCCCGATCCAAATTTCCGTCCTTCGTCAACCCAACTCCTAGATATTTATACTCTTCACAGTCCCGAATTCTCCGGCCATCCTCCAGTTCAATGCTTTGCTGATCACCACCGATAACCAACGTCTCCGTCTTTATCACATTGACTTCCCGCTTCATGTCCTTACGCAGTCCTTTCAGCAACTTCCAGCTCTCAGTG